ATCAATAAATTTACTCCAATTTTGCGATTTAAACGTCAAGATTGTGTCGACGTATAAGAAATTTGTTGAAAAAATTTATGATACCTTTCCATTAACCCCTTTCCACTGCCAGAGTATTTGATATTTTATGATATCACCTTGGACTTTAAGGTATAAATAACTTATTTATAACCCCGGGCTATAGTAATACTGTACTATATTAAGTAATCCATGAGATTTTGATTATAAGATTTGTTTTATAAAAAGTTTTGCCAAAATTTTTCCGAAATTAGTTTCGTATTAAATAACTTTTTTATTAATTTATTAGATATTATTAAATAATTATAAATTATTAAGTATGCGATTATAAAAGTTTATATAATTTTTAAGCTGTGTAAAAATTCAATTCATCTAAAACCGTATTTATTTTTTTATAAATTATTAAATAAGCTAGATATTAGTTTAAATATTATAAACAGTTTTAAATTTAATTTGACTTATTTTTAATTAAGAAGTGTTATTTTATTTTAATTATATATGTTTATATAATATTAGAGCAAATTTCAAAGTTAATTTTAATTTATTATATGTTTAATTTACAATGCTTATTATAAGTAATAATAATGTTGCCATGTTCAATTATATAATCATTTTAAACTTATTCATAAATTATATATAGATTTATAAGGGATTAAAATATTAAATATTTCTAATAAAACAAATTCTCTCTCTCTCTCTCTCTCTCTCTCTCACTCACTCACTCACTAACACATAAATATCAGATTATAAAATAGTGATAGCATAAAATTAAATTTCTATTTTTAGCAACATTTTGACATTTTTGTAATTTAAAAAAATCATCCGATGTTTGCAGTACTCATGATATTGCGATGTGATTGCAATCTCAACACTCAATCCAATGCCATACACCTGTTTATAGGGTTTAAAATGCGATTCAGTATAATATTGATACAGCATTAATATACTTTTAAAAATTAATGATCAAGTTAAGCCTTTATAAATTGAAGTATCATGTCAAGTTATAATAATGAGGTACGGTAATAAGTACAATAATATACCGTAGTTTCAATAAATATAATATTATTTATAATACACCCCTGTTACCTTATTTACTTTAATTGTTTATAACATATTTATATTAATAATTTGAATTCAAATTATTAAATATTATTTTAATTTAAAAAACAATGTTATGTTATTTGATTTATTTAGAAATATTAACTATAATCATAAAATATTATAATTTATTGAGCAAAATTTCTATTTATTTTAAAACACAAAAATCATGTCCATGCTGTATTTTATATTTAAAATAACTTTTGAATCACTGATAAAAACTTAATTCATGAATCTTGTGTGACCCGGTATCAAATAATGGCGACCTACTACAATATGACCTTGCTGTTATTAGATTGTACATGATGACAAATTTTTACATATTTTGTAATGATAGATTTATTTATTTAGTATTATATTTTATCAATACAAAATAAACTAATTTACAATAATTATGTGTTATAGTAACTAGAAATTTAATAACTTATATATATATTATTTGTTACTAAAATTAATTTTTATAGTTATAGATAACATATTATTTAAATTAATTTTTATTTTAATATCGATAAAATTAATGAACTCATAAACAAGTTTATTTTATATAAATAATATTAGATATTTAAATTTTCTAAAATAAATATTTACAAATATATTTTAAAATAAATTATTTTAATGATTAACATGCCTACTACTATTTATGTTCACAATAGATTTATCAATAAAAATATTTTCACATAAAAACATCTTAACTATAATTCATTAGTAAACTTATCGATAAATCTATAAATAAGATATTTGTTGAAAAAATTTATTGAAAAACATGTCAATCAATGCCAAAATCATAGGATATATTAATGTAAAAAATTATATGTAAACAACATTTTGAAAATCAATATAAAAGTCAATTGACTTCACATTAAAAATAATTACGTAAATATAGTATTTATCTATACTAGTATGTTTGTAATATTAGCTATATACGTATTAAATTATTTATATCAAAAAATAAACATGGAAAATTTTGGGCAAATAACCTAATTGGGCAATTAAATAACCTGTAAATAAAAATAAAATACAATATGAGTTAATCAGTAATTTGATTTTATATTTTAGATTGGTGTATAGATAAAGTGGACATTCATTTAAGCTGTATACATTTAATAAATAGATATATACACAGTTGAATTTATTTTTAAAGTGTTTATTTGAATTTAGTAAGAATCTGATTAATAATTATATTTTCATCAAGCATATTTTGATATGTTAATATTTATTTTTTATTGATAATCATTTTAACACATTAACTTGAAAAACAATTTTTTATTTTAATATTTTTAAAATGTTTTGATATTTACATAGAAATTGCGTTTAGGTTTCAAAACAATTCAAACATTTTTCAAATGATAAAAATATTTTGAAATATATTTTTTGACACATTATTTACAAAAACTACATAAAAGGAAATATATTTACATTTCATTCAAGTGTATAAAAAATGACAAAAATATTTAAAAATTATTTTCTCTTAAATTCTGCGTTCACTATAAGTGGAGGTAATTATATGTAAATAATATTTATGTACACTATCGAGGGTCAGTTTAAAAACTAAATTTAAAAAACACTAAAAAATTATTAATAAAATTAATGACTTTTAATAAAAATATTTTCAAAAAAACATATTTTTTAAAAATTAATAAAATAATAATTAAAATGCTTGCATAAATTAAAATGTATGATACATAATAATAATAAATCACATGACCAGGTTCACATATCTCTAATATTTACGCAGGGATACTTTCCAAAATATCGATAAACGGTGGTAGTATGGACTTGTACCTAGTTTGATTAGTAATGTCCCTGGTCCATGTTTTCGGGAGTCGTAGTATTTTTTGACACTGGTCAGTGTCGCGTCTATATTGCGAGCAAATGTGTCCGATCATTTGCCCGGTGTATCCCTCCAGGAGCTCCTCGATGAGTACGACACTACTGTCCCTACAGTCCGGGGACGTGGACTCCGAGGCCTCGTGTGATACACACTCTTCAAACTTGTAGTAATTGCTGTGAATAGAAAAGGTTTAAAATTAATTTAGCATGCTAATTAAGGGTGGTGATTAAACTAAATGAAATACAAGCTAGTAGAAATATTTTTACTAAACTAGTAAGCGTGCAAAATTAATTTTATATTTACAACTGTAACTTTTACATCAAATAGCCATAGTTATTAAAGCAATGTGTACTGGTTATTTTATTGGGCCTTTAAATGGTCGAAATATTATTTTTTAAAAATTACAAAACGTTACATGACTAAATAAATAAGGAGTATATTTAATTTTTAATTATAAATTAATTAACCAAATTTTACCCAATAAATAAATTGTAAAACATGTGCTATAAGATAATGTTTGCCTCAAGTAACATTTACAGCTTATATTTTATTAATTTAATTAATACTTGAGTAATTTATTTATATATCAAGTTTGTTAATTAACAATGTTAGTTAAATTAATTTTATTGTTTACTTTGACTATATAAATAAACCTTACTTAAAATATATTTAGTAAGTACAATAAAACTTAAAATTAATTATTCATCTAGTGAAAACTTGCATTTATTAAAAAAAGTATAACAAAAAGCTAACAAATAACCTGTTTCAATTGTAATTAAAACAGACAATTTCCTGGTATAATACAGTACTAGTCATGAAATCATAGCGCAGACACATTCGCACAGGTATTCAATGTTAAGTGAATGTAAACCTAATTTTTTTATCATTGCTTATCGTTTTCCTAATCGCAATGAAATTGTGTGGAAAATCCAACTTATAATCTACTTTTAATCCCTGGCCTTAAGTGAAATTGAAAAATTACTTTCAGTTAGAGAGAGAGAGAGAGAGAGAGAGAGAGAGACTAATGTCCTAATTAATCAAACTGTAAAATATTAATATAAACCACCTTATCGCATGGAAATAAAATAAAATCTACTATTTTTTGTTTAATTTTAAATGACCTTTATGAGAGTTTGGGTTTTCCTAAACGGTTTGTATTTTAATTGTTTGTTATATAATTTTGTAATTTTATATATAGTTAATGTGTTTTTTGTTAATATTCCTGTATTTTGCGGTTTTAATATTATTTATGATAATTTATATTTATTACTCAAAAACTGTAAACTAATTTTAAAGTTTGTAGTCATTATTATTAAATATTTGATTTTTTAATTATGGGCTTAAATTGACGGGCTATATTATTTTATCCTGGTTAAATTTTAATACTTATAATTAAACTATTTATTTAACTAATATATTTCATATTATTTTATAATTCACGATAATTAATATGCTAACTTATTATAAAATAAATAATAGTAAAAATAATAAATATATAATACGTACCAACAAATTAGACCTATTTTCAATTTCTCAGGTGCATTGACAGTGATCATAGCCTCATCAATGAGCTTGTTCATACACTGGGTTGCTTGTGGTTTAATAGCATTCAGGCATTTAGCCATGGAGACAATGTCCTTTTTACCGCGGTTAAAATTGCAGTAGTATTTGTTTTTGCGTATAACACCGTACATGAGCAAGGTGGTCACCTGGTAGGGAAAGGCTTTCAAACACCTTTTGGCGTATTGCTTGACATATAGTTCCTTCTGATTCTTTTCGCTATAATAAATACATAAAATTAAGTTAGCAAGATAACTAATTAATTAAATTATATTTAATTGTAAAATAAATGCTCCCTAGCTACCTATTTTTGTAAATTGTTTTAATTATTATTTTAAATAAAACAAACTGTTAAGATAAATTTTACACTATATTAATAAACTATATTTTAGCTAGTCTTAATTTAAAAATTAAATATAATTTAGTACTTACAAACAGAACAAGGACCTTTCCTTTTCACTTTCAGGTATATTACGAGTGGGGTCATTCAAAAAGAATAGCCACCTGGTAGTTTCATCCATTGTTTTCGGGTCGCACTCAATGCCATTATTTGTGGGCTTGAAAGCACTGGTACCCTCTGATGAGAAATAAAAATTTAATAAATTTTATTATAATGAAATATATTATATTATTATTATATTAATATTGAGCTTACCAATTGTAAAAACTACTACGAGCAAGCACAAAATATACATTTTTATAGACATATTAACGATGCACTTTAAAACTTTGATTGCCAGATCGCCAAATTAAATACTATTTTATTGCCGAAATAATATTGTTCAATTTTAGCTTATTTATTACAGTTTGTTATAGCAAATAAAAAACACTTTATTTGGCGTTTGAATACAATTTCATTTGAATGTACTTCTCATACAACTTATTAGGATTTGGTTTAACAGTACTCTGAGTGTCGGCCTCTTTAGCGGAACTCCTATTCAACAAACTATTCAACAAATTCTTGTGACTCTTATTATTACCGGAATTCTTGCGATTCTTGCGGTCAGTATTGTCTTTCTCTTGTTGTGAGTGAAATTGAGACAACTTTCTGGCGTTCATAGCATTTATATATACGTGTAGTCAGAGCACAGGTATGTTATTTGTAAAACTTTTTTTTGTAAAACATAAAAAAACTTTTATTATAGTATAGTAGTGTCGCACAGGTATTCACGAATATGTATGATACGAGTGTTTATTTATGGCACCCAGACCTTCACGATTACTAGTTATATGTATAGCAAACAACTGCACAGGTATTCAAAAATAATATGAGAAACTGTTTTTTGAGAAACTTTTCTATCCATTCACTAAACACTCGGAGAGAAACTCCTATTTATATACTATGAGAGCACAGGTATGTCAGTGATAGTGAGAGGGATAGTTAGCGCACAAAAAAATGTTTTACGAAATAGTTAGGCGACAAAATTAATGCCATATATTTTTTGTATTGGTTTTTACCATAATATGAATTACACACACAAAAACTGGTTGGCCTGCATTACATACCAGTGCTATTGCTACCTATGCTTCGCAATCGTTTGTACTATAAATACTGTTAATATTATGAGTGTATTTTCAGGGGGCGGTATGTTTTTTGTGAGGATTTAATACGAAGAGATTAATTGTATTATTTATAGATAGAAATGTATTTTTAGGCTTTCCGATCGGCCATAATTAATTGATTTTGCATTTATGTATTAGTATTTTAGGTATATACGGGGGCTGGTAGGGGGACAGGGATGTCTGTATTGACGCATTTTGGTGTATAAATANTATGAGTGTATTTTCAGGGGGCGGTATGTTTTTTGTGAGGATTTAATACGAAGAGATTAATTGTATTATTTATAGATAGAAATGTATTTTTAGGCTTTCCGATCGGCCATAATTAATTGATTTTGCATTTATGTATTAGTATTTTAGGTATATACGGGGGCTGGTAGGGGGACAGGGATGTCTGTATTGACGCATTTTGGTGTATAAATATAGGTATTTATCTCATTGACAGACGTCTAACAAATTAAATTGTTTCGACACTACTTTGCAATTCATTTTTGATATTTATATTAATATTTAAAAAGTATGAGAAAAATGTTTTGTCAATATAATTGTTTTATACTGGGTAGCCTTGGTGAGTGCTATCAAACTTGTGTTAAGAGATAATTTATCAAGCTCAATCCGTATCTAAATATAACACTATTATCTTAGATTAATTATGTGAAATATTTACACTTAAATACACTAAAAAAGTACTAAAAGTACTTAACAAATGTTGCATGCTTATGTAAAAATTATTTTCATTGTTTAAATTATGTTTTATAATTTTTGTAAATAGTTTTTATATTTTTAAAAATAAATATTATTTTAATATAATACTAAATAAATATTTTTTTGTGTTACGTAATAACGTAATAATTGTTCAAGCATGTTTCAAAATAGTTGTTATAGTTACTCAATTTTAAAATTGAATATTTGTATAAAATTAAGTTTTATTATAAACAATATGACAATGGTAGTATATACATTTCAAAAACAATAAAATGTGTATAAACTGGGTTTTCCAGTATTTGTTAATATAACTGGATTACCGCTAAAATCAAGGATTATGGTGTCAATAACATTTCATTAAGCACATTTAATAAACAAAATAATTTATATTTTTAATTTAAAATTAGTTTTATTATTTGCTTAAATCAATAAGTTTATTTAATATATATACTATTACTAATTATCATAAATTATTATACTTTTATTTTTAATAAACAAATTAAATTATATACACAAAATATATATAAACTACATAAAACACTTTGAATATAATTTTTGATGTAAAGTAAATATAACAGGGATTTCCCAGACATAGACACCCCGGGTATATACAGTACCAATGTCAACATACTTGTGTGTGTATGTCTCAAGTGTATTTTATTATCAGCAAACAAAAAATAATTTGTGTCATTAGCTTATTACAATTTAGTTTACCACAATATACACCAATATGTTAATTCATAATTAATTTTAAATATTATAAATGTACATTATAAAATTATTTTACAGTTTTAAAAATTAAGATAAAATGTTAATTAATTTTAAAATTTTTAGGATTAAATTCAGATATTTATTATTATTTTTTATATGAAGTTCATTATAACGAGTGGTTGAGTGTATTGAGGAAAATGAAAGGCTATTATCGATGAGGTTATGATGGATAGGGAGGTGTAGTACAAGTTATTTCTCAATAACGTATTTTACACTAAACTTTGTTAATATACTTTTTGTATATACCTAGTTATTATTGATTGTGTTTTGGTTGCGAAAGTTTGTATCAGTTTTGTGTTGCAAATAATACTATAAAACAATTTTTAGTTAATTATATGTTATTGTGTTTTGATATTTTTTATAAATATCTATTAAATATGTATGATGTAAAAATTTATAATTTATATTGCGGAGTTGTTTTTAATTATATTTTTTAAATATGTAAGTATCAATATAAATCTCGGAATTTTAAAATTAATTATAGTATCTATTACAATTTTAATATAAATGTAGAATTAATAATATTAAAAATCATAATGCTATTATGAATATTTTTAATATAATTATTTTTATTTACTTAAATTAATTCTACAATAATCGGTACAATGAGATATAAATTCATAATAGTTTTGGTTAGTTAAAAATGTTTTATACATTTTACAATGTAAAATTTACATCATTAATGTATGTAAGTTATAAAAAATATATTTGATTTTTGATATTCTGTTTTAAAATACAAAGTACACATATTTAACCCTGTCACCCTCTAGTGTGTGCAAAACATATTAACATTGTTGATAATACGGTAGCATTAGGAATGATATTCAATTAATTCAACATGTACAAATTGCCACGTTACATTAATGCGGCATGGAGTTCATTATATTAAAAAATGGTGGTAGTATAGATTTGGGTGTTTTTTGATGTGGTAACTTTTTCGGTGTTTTGATTATGAGTTTGGCACATTTATCCGAGTCCTCCGTATAGTCGCTGCAAATCAAGTTCAGTCCATCGGTGGCATAACCGTCCGCTAGATTTATGTTCTCCTTATACACACTTTCGGTACACAGGGGCGCACCCTNTGGATAGAAAAGTTTCTCAAAAAACAGTTTCTCATATTATTTTTGAATACCTGTGCAGTTGTTTGCTATACATATAACTAGTAATCGTGAAGGTCTGGGTGCCATAAATAAACACTCGTATCATACATATTCGTGAATACCTGTGCGACACTACTATACTATAATAAAAGTTTTTTTTATGTTTTACAAAAAAAAGTTTTACAAATAACATACCTGTGCTCTGACTACACGTATATATAAATGCTATGAACGCCAGAAAGTTGTCTCAATTTCACTGTCACTCACAACAAGAGAAAGACAATACTGACCGCAAGAATCGCAAGAATTCCGGTAATAATAAGAGTCACAAGAATTTGTTGAATAGTCTGTTGAATAGGAGTTCCGCTAAAGAGGCCGACACTCAGAGTACTGTTAAACCAAATCCTAATAAGTTGTACGAGAAGTACATTCAAATGAAATTGCATTCAAACACCAAATAAAGTGTTTTTTAATTTGCTATAAAAACTGTAAATAAGCTAAAATTGAACAATATTATTTCGACAATATAATAGCATTCAAATTGGTTGTAAACACTCAAAATACTAAAGTGCATCGTTAATATGTCTATAAAAATGTATATTTTGTGCTTGCTCGTAGTAGTTTTTACAATTGGTAAGCTCAATATTAATATAATAATAATATATTATATTTTATTATAATAAAATTTATTAAATTTTTTATTTCTGATCAGAGGGTATCGGTGCTTTTAAGCCTACAAATAATGGCATTGAGTGCGATCCCAAAACAATGGATGAAACTACCAGGTGGCTATTCTTTTTGAATGACCCCACTCGTAATATACCTGAAAGTGAAAAGGAAAGGTCCTTGTTCTGTTTGTAAGTATTAAATTAAATTAAATTTAAAAATTAGGACTAGCTAAAATATAGTTTATTAATATAGTGTAAAATTATCATAATAGTTTTTGTATTTAAAATAATATTTAAAACAATTTACAAAAATATTTAGCTAGGGAGCATTTATTTTACAATTAAATATAATTTAATTAATTAGTTATCTTGCTAACTTAATTTTATGCATTTATTATAGCGAGAAAAATCAGAAGGAACTGTATGTCAAACAATACGCTAAACGTTGTTTGAAAGCCTTTCCCTACCAAGTGACCACCTTGCTCATGTACGGTGTTATACGCAAAAACAAATACTACTGCAATTTTAACCGCGGTAAAAAGGACATTGTCTCTATGGCTAAATGCCTGAATGCTATTAAACCACAAGCAACCCAGTGTATGAACAAGCTCATTGATGAGGCTATGATTACTGTGAATGCACCTGAGAAATTGAAAATAGGTCTAATTTGTTGGTATGTACTATACATTTATTATTTTTGTTAAATATTTTAAATTAAGATAGTATATTATTTATTGTGAGTTATAAATAAACTAGTTAAATAAAAAGTTTAATTATTAATATTAAAATTTAATTAGAATTTAATTAAAGTTTGATTACATGTCCCACTAATTAAAAAATCAAATATTTGATAATAATAACCACAAACATGTAAATCATTTTACAGTTTTTATAGTACTAAATATGAATTATAATATAAAATATTTAAACCACAAAATACAGGAATATTAACAAAAAACATTAACTATATATAAAATTACAAAATTATATAACAAACAATTAAAATACAAACCGTTTAGGAAAACCCAAACTTTCATAAAGGTCATTTAAAATTAAACAAAAAATAGCAGATTTTATTTTATTTCCATGCGATAAGGTGGTTTATATTAATATTTTACAGTTTGATTAATTAGGACATTAGTCTCTCTCTCTCTCTCTCTCTCTCACTCACTAAATACACACAACTAATCTATACTTATAAATCATTAAAATATTGAGTTGTTATAATAAATTGTAAAACCAATGC